ACACACACACACACACACACACACACACACACACACACACACACTCCAGGGTGAGTCAACAAGTATCGCTACACGTTTGTACGTGTATAACTTCACTGTAAGCCAGACGTGCTTCAGCGCATCTCTGTGAGTAGTCAGCACGGCAGACTGGTTCTCTCAGTGACCACTTGTCTGGGTCCTGTTATCCACTGCCACTGAGACCCTGCCGATGCGCGCTCTCTGAGGTGGTCAGTCGTTAGGGGTGCAGACGGTGCCGTCGCCCTCCTGAGGAGCACCTGGGGGCTGTGAACTGCCCACCTCATGGGCAGTCCAGCTTGCCCCCGACAGTGCCACCAGCACTCCTCCAGTCTCACGACCAGACAGGCAGACTCACTGCCAATGAGTCCATGCACACTTGCTGGACCCTGCAGGACAGGGTTGAGCGGGTGTCTGAGGCTGTAACTCTTCACTGGAGCAGAAAGTCTTGTCTTTCTCCCATGGAGTGTCGGGGGGCAGGGGGGGGGCTCTGAACTGCTGACTCACAGCGGCCCCCTGTGGGTTTCCCACGCTGCTACTGTTGATGGGAGGAAAGCCCAGTCTTTCTCCTGTGGAGCTGCTGGTGGTTTCGAACTGCCGACCATGCAGATCACAGCCCAGCGTAACCACAACACCTCCAGGGCTCCTTTAGGGTGACTTAAAAAAGATCCAGTCAAAACCAGGACTTCAGGAGGGTCCTGGCGGTTGTGGGGGCGGAAATCCTGGGGTAGTTAAATTCAAGGCGGAAAAGTCAGCTCAGAAGGGCATGGTGACTGTTTCGGGGATCATCTTCTCTTCCCACAAAGGAGCACATTCAGAGAAGGCACCCCCAGGCCCAGAGCTTCTCCCCACCCATCACAGCAGTCCTGGGTGCAGTATGGTGGGAGACACCAGGGCTGGACTGCTGCCACTTCTCCTCCAGGCTTGCAGACCACGGGGTGGACAGACCATGGAGGCCTCTCTCCTGGGCAGCTTGAGGCTGCACGGCCCAGTGGGGTCCTGGTCCCGTCCTCCTGGGCAGCCTCGGCCTTTCCCAACCCCCCTTCCCTCATCTGTCAAATGGACCTTGCTGTGATGTGGCCCTCAGGTGGCTGGGAGGGTTTCCTAAAATCATCTTAGTCTGATGGTCTGTAAGACGGTGCCCGGGATGCAGCCAGCAGGAGATGCTCAGCACAGGCGCCCGTGGCCGTGAAGTTGATGCAGACTCCCCATGCTGTGGGGGGCAGCGTGGAGCTGGGCTCCGGAGGCTTTCAGTGGCCAGCTTTGAGGGGTGCCTTTCTTCGGCAGCCCATCTGGGTGGACTCAAACCCCCAACCTTCCAGTCAGCAGCTGTCGTCAGGTGCCGTTGAGATGGCCCTGACTGACGCAGGAGGAAGTCTCCTCACCCTCGATTCCCAGGGTGTCTGGCTGGACAGCGTGCAGGACAGGCTGGGTGGTCCTCCTGAGAGTCCGTGGCACTTCCACTGCTCTGTGCCAGCACCACAGGCCAGACACGCCCATGCTTCTTACGTCCCCCTTGTCCATTGCTGCCCCACGCCTACAAGGTGATGGAAAGTGCCGGCGCTCGGGTCAGGTGCACCTCGGTCCTCCTCGCACGTTCTGGCTCTTGCACACTCTAAAGAGGTCGTGTGAGCAGCAGATCTGCCCCGGGTGATGCCTCCTCCGACGGCTGCTTCCACGAGGGTCAACCGTGGATCCAAGTAATATGAGGGCCTTGAGGACGTCACTCTTCTCCGTGGATCGTGGGTGTGGTCCACGGGTCGGTTGGGGGCTATTGACAACTCCATGTAAAGAAGACCACGGCCCACAGGACTGGGCAGTAAGCCTGGGGCACATGGGAGAGCCCGCAGCTCCTGCTCAGACCACCCCGTGGAGTGGCTGGGTGAGTGGGGAAGGCCGGGCTTTCCCAGCTGCCCGGAGGCTCTGCAGAGTGCTGAGGTGTCAGGGACTGTCCTGGAGCAGGTGATGTGTGCTGAGTCCCCAGATGAGGAGGAGTGAGGCGGGTGCTCTGCTCTGGGAGGGACCGGTGTCTGCAAGGGTCTGGGTGTTAGGGTTGCCCCTGGACCCTCAGCAATTCCCTTAGGAGGCACAGGGTGTCCGGTGGGGGTATCCCTCGGGGCGGTAAAATCCGAGGGGGGTCTCCTTCCTTCACAGATGAGTCAGAGCTGATGGTGCAGCTGCCAGACAAGATGCGGCTGGACCTGGCCATCGATGTGAACTACGACATCGTCAGCAAGGTGGCGCTCTTCCAGGTACGCGCCCCGCGTCCCTTCCCCTCTGGGCTCTGCCCACCGCACCCTCACGCGTGCTCCTGTCCCTCCTCTCGGACAGGGCTGCGACCGGCAGATGATCTTCGACATGCTGAAGCGGCTTCGCTCGGTGGTCTACCTGCCCAACGACTACGTGTGTAAGAAGGTGAGCAGCTGGAGGGGGGCCTGCAGCTCTCTTGAAGGACCACCTGACTGCACCCCCAATGTGGGGGACGAGGAAACTGCCCCACGTATTGCAACCAAGGAAAGCTGGGCGTCTGTGGAGAGGCAGGGCCTTCCCCTCCTGGTATCGGTACTCTCATTGTTGGTCCTGGCTGTGGTTCTTATCTCAGGCAGCAATCACTTCCTGAGCTCCGGCCCAGCGCTCAGCAAATCGGACACTGTGGTCTGGGCCACTGTCAGGTCACCAGGCTCTGGCCGGCCCCTCCACGGGGAGCAGGGGGTCGGCAGGATGCCATTACACCCGTGGTTCCCAGGGTGCTGGCGTTTTCCTGCCAGAACGCCAGTCACTCTGCATCAGGGACGGCACAGGGTGTGGTTACTCCCCCAAGGTCACAGACGGGGAGACTGAGGCCGATCGTTGGCAGGGACAGAACCAGGCCCAGGCTCCGCCTTGCTCTGGGCCCAGGCCTGACTGCTACTCTGGGTGGGAATGGGCAGAGAGACTGCCTGTGCTCTGTCCCGCTCCAGGGAGAGATCGGCCGAGAGATGTACATCATCCAGGCGGGCCAGGTGCAGGTGCTGGGTGGCCCAGACGGGAAGACTGTGCTGGTGATGCTGAAGGCCGGGTCCGTGTTCGGAGAAATCAGGTGAGGAAGGGGCGGGGCTGGCCAGAGGGGAGCTGGACAAAGGTGGGAGGGGCCACGTCCTTGAGAGCCGCTCAGTGGTCTGAGGACCCTCTGGGAGGATGGATACAGCACCAGCGACCACTCCTGATGTCGATGGGAACCATGTGTTGTGAATGCCGTCTGAACCGAAGCCTCCCGGTATCTGCCGTCCCTCCCTGCTCTGCTGCAGCTTACTGGCCGTGGGCGGTGGGAACCGGCGCACGGCCAATGTGGTGGCCCACGGTTTCACCAACCTCTTCATTCTGGACAAGAAGGACCTGAATGAGATTCTGGTGCACTATCCCGAGTCTCAGAAGCTGCTCCGGAAGAAGGCCAGGTAAATCCTTTCCTTTCTTCCCCTGCTGGCATGTCCTAAGACTTTCCACTTAAACAGCCTTCCTGCTTATCGGAGAAACCAGGAGAGTTTGAGACCACCGGCCGCTCCGAGGGAGAAAGATGACTCTTCCCTTCTCCCATCAAGAGTTCGGTCAGGTCACCCTGTGGTGACCCAGGCACGTCAGAGCAGAGCTGTGCTCTGTTTGGGGCCTTTCTTCTGAGGGGCCACTGGGCGGACTCGAACCACCTACCGTTAGGTTAGCAGCACAGCACGAGAACCCCCAGGGACCCCAGGGAAGCCACCAAGTGCCTTAGAAGGCCAGTCGTGTGAACACTGCCCACTTCCCTCAGCCATGTCCTCTTCTGAAGTGCGTGAAACTGGCCCCAGACAATGCACACCCACTCTCTCCCTCCTCCCCAGAGAGGAGCAAGGCTCCCCACACTGGCAGCTACCCGTCTCTGGCCCAGTTTGAGGACCACAGAGGAGCAGGGGCTGATGGGCCCTGCTACACAGAGGCCCTGGGCTGAGCGGGGCTGTCGTGCCTCAGAGCGGCTGGCCCTCTGGACAGAGGTGAGCGTGAGGAGAGAGGCAGGGGTCAGGGCCACAGTCTGCTCATCTCCGGGCCCAGGACGTCAGTGTTGGCAAGAGCCACCAAGGGATTCTGTCCCAGTGGCCCGTTCCACAGAGGGCTGTCTCAGCCCCCCAGAGTGAAGTGCTCATGGCCCTGGCTAACATCCAGGAGGTGGGAGTTAGAACTGGTGAAAAGGCCTTTATCTCCTGGGGCAGCAACAGCAGCACAAGCCACCCAGGCCCATGGCCACGGAGCCTAGGATGTCTCAGGGCCCAGGGTCACAGAGGAGAATGCCCAGCCAAACCTCCTTTTCAGACACATCCAGGGGGGTTGAACCTCCAGCCTGTCAGTTAGCAGCCCATTGGCTACCGTTTGCCCCACCCGTGGGTGAGTGTCCCATCCTAATTACAGGGCTTGGCATCTCCTGGAAACCAGGGTGGGCTTCCTTAATCTGGGCAGGTCACAGAAGCCAGGCTCACTGTGGGAGGAGAAAGCCGGCGGCGGCCATCCGCCTCTAGAGCAGCAGTTCTCAACCTGTGGGTCTCGAACCTTTTGGGGGCCGAACGACCCTTTCACAGGGGTCACCTGATTCATAACAGTCAACATGACAGCAATGCAGTAGCAATGAAAATAATGTTATGGTTGGGGGGTCACCACCACATGAGGAACTGTGTGAAAGGGTCGCGGCATCAGGAAGGTGGAGAGAACCGCTGCAGTGGTCCTTTGTGTGGTTGGAGTGCCATGCTGAGCCTTCCACGGACTGCCTGCCTGTGAATTACGGCCTCCAGTAACACAGGAGACAGTGCCCCATGTGGGAGGAGCCTCTGCTGAACAACCATGTCTGCATTCCCTGTGGGAGCCGCCTCGAGAACACAGTCTTGGCAGTCCACAGGGATGCGCACCATCGCAGCCCTTTGCCTCGGGTTAGATCCGCAGCCTGTAACGCCCTCACTTTTAAACAAATAGGTCGGGCTGGAGGCCTGATGAACGGGCTTGCCAATTAGCAGTCTGGGCCGCCAGATCGCAGGTCCACACTTGCTCTTGAGCCAAGGCCGCCGCACATTTGTCAAGGCCGGTGCTCTGTGCGATGGGAAGTTCTGTCCTGACGTGGGGAGACAGTGTGGTGTGGTGAAGCTGGACCTTCTGGGCCATGGGCCTGCCTCTGCCACTCCCTGGCAGCCTCGGGCCTGGCACCTGAGTCTGTTTCCCTGCCTGTCAGAGGACAGTAAGCGCCTCACTCTCCTTCTCACAGGGTGTGGTCAGGAGGTTGCTTTGTCCTCAGTGGGACCTGGGGTCCTGGGGTCGGAGGCCTGGATCTGAATTCCCAACTCTGCCACCTCCCAGCCACGTGGCCTTAGGCAGGGTGTCCACCCCCTCTGGACCTCCATGTAAGGAGACCCGGTGGGGTAGTGGTTACACATTGGGCTGCTAACTACAAGGTCAGCAGTTTGAAACCGCCAGTCGCTCTGTGGAAGAGAGACGAGGCCGAGGCTTCCTATTCCCATAAAGAGCTACAGTCTCAGAAACCCACAGGGGCAGTTCTACCCTGATCTGCAGGGTTGCTATGAGTCAGTATCGACTCAGTGGCCGTGAGTTTGGTTTTCAGCGTGTGGGACCTCCGTGTCCTCATTTGGAAAGGGGTACCTCTTGTCCCTGAGTTGATCCGCGTGTGGGGACCCCACTCGTGTCAGAGTAGAGCTGTGTTCCACAGGGCTTTGCCGGCTGGGGTGGTAGATGCTGGCCGGCAGGCCTTTCTTCTGAGGGGCTTCCGGGTGGACACAAACCACCATTTGGTTAACTGTAGAGCCTGCAACCTGTTTAGAGCACACAGGGACTGGAGTGTGGTAGGGAGACAGAAGTGAGCTTGTGTGTGCTTGTCCCTAAGAGTCCCCCAACGCGGCAGTGTGCCCTTGTCGCACACTGTGGCCATGGGTGCGTGCTCTACAGCTGCATCAGAGCAGTCCCCCAGGATGGCAGCTTTACATGGTCCTCGTTTGCTGTCTCGGGTTCCTTGGGGCTTGAATCTGGGACCTGCTCAGCTGGATGCAAGGCTGGCATCAAGGTGTCGCCGGAGCTGGGTCTCATGTCAAGTCTCGGTTTGGGAAGGATCTGGCTCAAGCGCATACAGTTGTCGGCAGCATTTCCTGCAACTACTGACCGGACCACTTTAGAGCAGTGGTTCTCAACCTGTGGGTCGAGACCCTTTTCTTTGGGAGTCGAATGACCCTTTCACAGGGGTCGCCTAATTCATAATAGTAGCAAAATTACAGTTAGGAAGTAGCAACGAAAATAATGTTATGGTTGGGGGTCACCACAACATGAGAAACTATGAAAGGGTCAAGGCATTAGGAAGGTTGAGAACCACTAGCCTTAGAGTCTCGCTTACCAAGGCAGAGGTCACCCTGGAGTCCTAGCTAGTGGCCGGCCAGTGGCTGCCCCCCGCCTTGGATGCAGGCCGTCCACAACTTCCTTGCAGGCACAGCGAGGTCATGATCCTGGGTGTCACGTCACGGAGGTGACCTCATCACCCTCGCTTGACTCTGCTGGGCAGGAACAAGTCACCAGTCCTGCCTGCCCTGAGAGACGGGAGGTCACAGGGAGGGGACACCAGGGAGCAGGAATCGTGGTGCCACGGTAGGACCACGGGGTCTGAAGCGAGTAGACGCTTGACGACGGCACAGAACGAGAAGTGAGGGGTCTGTGAGGTCTCTCGAGTGAGCAGTAGCTCCGTTCTTGGCTTTGCACGATCAAAGAATTCATACCCAAGCCCGTTTTGTAATCCAAGTGGGTCTTTATGAAGGACGGGACACATTTCCAGTGTTACGGTCTCAAAGGGGTTCACGCTATTTCAGGGAAGCGTGTCAAGCCACGCGGAAGTCGCGTGGAGTTCACAACTGGACACAAACAACCATGTGGAAGAGAGCACCCACGCGTGCACAACCGGGGGGCATCTCGGGAGGCTGGGGAGAAAGGGGGCCAGAACGCTGCGCAAGAGGACTGGGGCAAGAAAGCGTGCCAGAGCGGGCTTCCTGCCCTTACTCTAGCCACCCGCTGGCTGGGGAAAGGTGCTGTTAAAGGTACTGGTTGACCTCATTGGCTGAGTTGAGCCCACCTGGGTGATGCCATGAGCCTAGGCCTAGTTTGGACCGCCCAGGTGTACTCCCACCTGGCTGGGGGCTTGAATTTGAGCATGCTCAGTTTGGGGTCTTCTTAGGTGTCTAATGGCTGCCTGATTTCTTCCCAACCTCCTCCATGGGGGCCTTTGCAGGCATAGAAGGGACAACCCCCTGCCCCTAAATCTAGCTACCTATCAGGTCCTTTTGAGCTTTTTCTCTGGAGCCCCTGGGTGTCTCGGCTGGTAAGTTTGGGCTTTTGGGTCCACCCAGAGGTGTCTCAGAAGAAAGGCCTGGCGATTGGTACCCCCAGACAACCCTGGGGAGCACAGCTCTCCTCTGACGCCCAGCAGGTGGCTGAGTGGGAGCTGGCGCTTTGATTTCGGACCCGGGGATGCAGGGTCCTCCGTGTTCCTGCGCTGCACTGGCTTCCACCAGTCGCCCCATCGCTCATGGCCTTCGCTCCCTCCCCACTGGGCGCAGCTGCGGGTCGTCTTCCTCGTTGTGCTCTGTGCTCAGCTCTGTGCTCCGCACAGAGGAAGCCCTCCCAAGGCGGGGAGGGTCTGCACCGTGCTGTGAGCGGGCACTGTTGGCTCTTTCCCTTCCAGGCGAATGCTGAGAAATAACAACAAGCCCAAGGAGCAGAAAAGCGTGCTCATCCTGCCCCCCCGGGCGGGCACCCCCAAGCTCTTCAACGCTGCCCTGGCCGCCGCTGGGAAGCTGGGCCCCAGGGGGGCAGCTAAAGGCGGCCAGCTGGCGCACCTGCGGGCGCGGCTCAAAGAACTGGCCGCGCTGGAGGCGGCTGCCAAACAGCAACAGCTGCTGGAGCAGGTAATGGGGCCGGGGGTCCAGCCACCCCCGAGGGGAGTGGGGACCCAAGAGGCCACGCATTTCATCCCACGGATTTGTTTCTCCCTCCTCCTCGGATGGCTAGGGACAGAGTGCACTGGGCTGAAATTGGCTTAAGGAAACAGGAGGTTGATTGAGTCAGGTCACTGAAAAGTTCAGGCAAGACTGGACTCAGGGCCCCCTGATGTCAGCGGGGCTAATTCCGTTCCTTCAGCTCTGCTTTGTCTGCGGCGCTCCACTTTCAGGATGGTCTGGGCAGAACCCGCTGCCCCATCCATTCTAGCAAAAGTCTCAGGGCTCCCTGTCCTTGGTCAGGATGGGGTCAGTCCTTGTGGGCCAAGGATGCTGTGCTCTGGAGAGGTCTGGGCCACACGCTCACCTCCGATGCCGGATGGGGGAGCAGCAGCTCCTCAAAAGGAAACCTGGTGCTGTGGTTGGAGGGGGCGTGGCCGTGAGCCAGGCACACCTCTCTGCAGGTGGGAGCGGCATTTTCATATTTCATGCTGTGTTCGTGACCATTTAAGCTATTTGAGAGGCAAAACCCTGCAGACAGGCACCGGGCCAACAGCTCCCACCCCCAGAAATCTAGAAGCGAATTTTAAAATTAGTTTAAAATTAGTTCTGGATTTATTTTGTTGTTGTTGTTATTGCTAATTAGAATGATTGTACTAATGGTAGCTATTTAAGATGTGCTTTAGGTAGGCTGCTGGGAAAGGTTGTATGTGTGTCTGTCTGTCTGGGGTTGGTCACAATGAACCCCGGCCCCATATGGGCCAGTGACAGAGCCCAGGGGCCCATCCTGGGGATGGACATCTGACAGCAAGAGTTTGTGCCATCAAAGCCTCCAGGAGAGCATGAATTTCCCCAGACATAGTCACTCCTAGCCCCTGGCTCACCTAACACCAGCGGCAGCTAGTAATGTGGGGACTGGGACTGGCTGCTATGTGTGTGGGGAATCTGAGTGGATACGCCGCTGGAGGAGACTCCAGAATGTTCTTGGTGCAGCAAAAGGCTTTGTCTGACTGAGGGCTGGTGGCTTTTGGGTGCTAGCTTTTCACCAAGGCAGCTTCGAACCGTGAATGTGATTTTGCAGTGTTCCAAAAAGGTGTTTCTTCGTCATTCAGAACAACGGGGCTAGGATGGCAGTGTGCCAGGGGCTCTGAAGGTGACCAGATTTTAACATTGGTAAAGCGAGACACCATTGATAAAACTCATATCCTGGCGAAATAGCCACATGGCAGCTGAAAACCGTATACCCTAGCTTGTCGTGCATTCTTTGCAAAAATTGGGATTTTTTAAAAATGCTGCGGGATGTGGGAAAAATTGTTAAAAATCAGGACTGTCCCGCCAAAAGCGGGACATCTGGTCACCTTATCTTAAACACAAGTCCCAAGACAAGCCCCAGCCCACTGTTACTGCCAACTCCACAACCCCAGCAAAGTCTCCAAGTTTTGAGACCCAGGTCACTGCAGACGCCACGCAGTGTGGGGGCTGGAGACCTTGTGTAAAAGCATTTTGGACATGGCTGAGCCCTTCCCATCAGCCTCCGGTCCCGTCTCTAGCTTGATGTTTCAAGGAGTCCCTTAGTGGGCACCACCTGGCTCCCCCTCCCTGCCCCACCCCACCCCACTGTGAGAGTAGGAGGTCAGAGTTCAGCCTGGACAGAGGATGGGGAGCAAATGCCCCATTGGTTGCATAAACAGTGAGGCCGAAGGAGCAACAAGTTCCCAGGGTCTTGCTGGGTTCTAGAAACATCTTTACCACATCACCCCCATCCCTTCCTTCTTTCCACATCCTATGACTTGTGCAAACTTAGGGGTCTCTGTTCCTCAGACACACTCTGGATACCCCATTTAAATTCACTCAGGTGGGGCTTGGGCAGCTAAGGACCACTTGGCCCTCCTCCTCTGGGGTCCAGTTCTCTCTCCAGGGCCCTTCTGTGAAGCGATGGGGTCAGACACAGCAAGGGAGACCTCAAGTGCCCACAAAGGCTTGGTTTTGCCCAGTTCCCTCCTGCTAGGCAGACTGTGGCAGAAGCCTATGGGGGCACTGCAGATGGGGACCCACCAGGTCCCCAAACATGGCTCAGCCGCATGCCAGTGCTGACAAGCTAAAGGGGGCACGAGCCACCAGCTGCCCCTCCTGACGTCACCTTTTTCTTTGTTGGCTGCGTTGTTGTCAGCATAGCTTGGGTGATCAGTGGCCTCTCCTTTGATGGCTCAGAGGCGAGGTTCTGCCCTTAAATTAGTAACTTGGCCCCGGCTTCCAGCACCCACATCTCAGCAGAGGCCAAACACCCCCAAGCTTTTCAACTAAACATTGGATGTTGAATTCTTACGCAGATGTTGAATTCTTAAGCATCACCATAAACAACAACAACAACAACAAAAATCAAACTCGCTGCCATCGAATAAATTTTGACTCATGGCGTCCTTAAAAGGCAGGGCAGAACTGCCCCTCTGGGGCAGCTCTTTACAGGAGTAAAAGCCTCATGTTGCTCCTGGGGAGCCGTATGGTTTCGAACTGCTGCCCTGGTGGTTAGCAGCCCAACCTGTAACCACTACCATCACCATGACATGTTCTATTTCTACCATATAAACCTGATGCGTCTCCCATCAGAGCCACTAGATCTTACCCCACCCGCCTTCTTGGGGGCGGAAGCGGTGGGGACATGAAGGTTCCGTTGGCGGCTCACCCCTCTCCCTTTCCTGGTTTATAGGGCAAAAGCTCTGCAAACGCGGCTGGAGAGGCAGGTTCTGCCGACACTAAGCAGCCCGCAGCCCCAGGGGAGGCCGCCCGGGAGCAGCCCACGGTGCCCGCGCCCGC